ACCAGCCCGGATAACATAGCAAGATCCCATGTCTACTATATGTGTGTGTGTGTGTGTGTGTGTGTGTGTGTGTGTGTATATATATATATTTTTTTTTAATTAACTGGGTGTGCTGGCACATGCCTGTAGTCCCAGCTACTCAGGACGCTGTGGTGAGAGGATCACTTGAGTCCAGTAGTTTAAGGCTACAGTGAGCTATGAGCACACCCTACATTCCAGCCTGGGAGACAGTAAGACCCCTGTCTCTAAAAAAAAAAAAAAAAAGACCCCAAAATAAAAAGCAAAACAAAGAAAAAAAAACAAATTCAATGAGTCGGGAATTAGTAGAAGCACAGCAGGGATGGCTTATCTCTCCTCCATAAAAAGACTCTACATGGCTGGTAGCTCGAGTCATCTGGAGGCTTCTCCACTCATATTTTTGACTCCTAGGCTGGGGTGACTCAAAGGTGGGGCTGAGATGAGCCTGGAGACCCAGTAGTACCTACATGTAGATCTTCCATATGGCATGAGCTTTTGTCAGCATGGTAGCTGAATTCAGGGAAGGACAATCTAGAGGGCAAACATTCAGAGAAAATAAGGATGAACTTGCAAGACTTCTTTCGACCTTAACTTAAAAGTCACGCAGCTTCACTTCCTCTACATTCTGTGCTTATCAGCAAGTCACTAAGGGCAGCCCTGATTCAAAGGAGGGGATTCAGATTCCACCTCTTGATGGCAGAGAAGCGACATAACGTTGCACAAAAGCAGGTAAGTGGGAGAGAGTGTCACAGGTGCCTCTGGAAACACAGTTTGGCACAGAGTCACAGAGATCATTAGCAGAGCAATATGTCCTGCGATGTTTTCAGCTGCAAGTAACTGAAAAGCCAACTAACAGTGGCTTCGACACTGAGGGGTTGTTATCTCATGAATTTAAGAGGTCAGAGGCAGGGCAAGTCCAGGGTTACTTTCATGGCTCAATGACATTACCAAGGACCCCTCTGCTTCTCATCTTTCTACCTTGCTACCTCAGCACATCCAGAGTATCTCAATGTTTGGTTTCACAGTGCCGCGGCAATTCCAAGCATCAGAAGGAGACATAAAATATCAAGCAAAGAAACAGAAAGGGTCTTCCATGAGACCCTTTTTTTTCTTTCCAATTTTTGTTTTAGATTCAGAGGGTACATGTACAGGTTTACTACATGGGTAAATTGCATGTCATAGAGGTTTGGTGTAAGATTATTCCATCACCCAGGTAATAAGCATAGTACTCAATAGGTAGTTTTTTGATCCTCACCCTCCTCCCAACCTCCACCCTCCACTCTCTAGTAGGCCCCCGTGTCTACTGTTCCCTTCGTGTCCATATGTTCTCAATGTTTAGCTCCCACTTACAAGTAAGAACACGCAATATTTGGTTTTCTGTTCCTGTATTAATTTGCTTAGGATAGTGGCCTCCAGCTCCCTCCATGTTACTGCAAAGGATGTGATTTTATTCTTTTTTATGGCTATGTAATATTCCATGGTGTATATGTACCACATTTTTTTTTTATCCAGTCCACCGTTGATGGGCATCTAGGTTGATTTCATGTCTTTGCTATTGTGAACAGTGCTGCAATGAACACACACATGCATGTGTCTTTATGGTAGAATGATGTATCTTTCTTTGGATATATACCCAGCAAAGGGATTGCTTGGTCAAATGGTAGTTCTGTTTCAATTTCTTTCAGAAGTCTCCAAGCTGCTTTCCACAGTGGCTGAACTAATTTACATTCCCATCAGCAGTGTATAAGCAAGTGTTCCATTGTCTCTGCAACCTCACCAGCATCTGTTATTTTTTTGACTTTTTAATAATAACTATTCTGACCAGTGGGAAGTGATATCTTCAGGAGTCCCTTTTACTTAGAAAGAACAACCTCCCCCAAAATCTCACAGCCAACTCACCTTCAGGTCTCATTGGTTAGGGACCTGACTTTGCCTATGTCTGTGCTATAGCTAAAAAGGGAGCTGGAAGAGGAAGAATCTAGCATTTTGGTTTCTATAGTTGGAAGCGCCCCTGTCAGTAAAAAGCAGTGGGGAGAATGTGCAGTGGAGAGAATGACATTTGAGCAGGCGGCAGCACTGTCTGCCACAGGTACAGGTGACCATTCATGCATTTAGCAATCAGTAGCTGGTCGTTAATTATGTACCAGTCACAGCGCTAAAGGCAGAGGCACAGCAGAGAGTAACACACAGGAGATCCTTAAGGTTGACAGTCTGGCACGGAACAAAGACACTTCACAAGCAATTACATAATTAAATACAGAATGTGTTGAGTGCTATGATAAGAAGCTTGCAAACAGTGCCCAAAAAGAAGTATGCAAAAAATTTACTTATGGAAGTATATTGAAATGCAAGGTGAGGATATAGTTACAAATGCTAAATGAAGAACAAGGTCTTTGCTGAGTCTAAAAAAACCACTAAAGGTAGGAATTTTCCCATTGTGAAGGAAAATGAAGCATGTGTCTGGCAGATAAAAATGTCCCTGTCATTAGAAAAGTTAATCCACCAACTGGAATTTACTACAGATTCTCTGAACTCTCTCTTAGGACCATCTGACCTTCGTCTATTCAGCTATGACCACACCAAATAAACTTTGGATTACTTTAATACATGCCCAGGTGTCCTGAATACCAGATTAGAATTTTCCACTTTCTAGAAAGCTTTATAATGTGAGCATAAACAGTCCTAGGCCTGATCCCTCTAAGGTGACCTGAAAATTGAGGAAACAGGCCTTCAGAGCTGGAAACACAGACTGGGAAGCCAAGGTGATCCCCACTCCTTGCACACAGCAGCTGAAGCTAGCCTTGCCCACAACCATAGCACCAAAAACAAAAACTCACCTGGTACATTCCTTTGATAACAGCTATGGCATCAGCTAACTGCTGATTGAAGGATTTTCTCATCTTATCCTCATTCTGCAAATAAAAATAAACGCAATAAGCACCATAATGTATTTCCAAATATGACCCACACCTACTAGGGAGGGACTCAGTAAAAAAACATCATCTGAATCATCACAATCTCTTGAAAACTTCAATTCATAATCATTTCTCCCACCCTGTAGCTATTATGACACATTTTATTTTTACTTATACTCAACCAAAAGCCATAGAGAGATCATATGGATAAAATATATACAGATAATTTGAACAGTTCATTTCATTTTTCACTTGAGTAAAGTCTTTTAGTGCCTTCCTAAAACTGCTTTTAAAAGTTGTAAAGTCTATTTGTGATGCCTATCTTCTTCTAGTCCTTGTACTTTTTGAATGGAATATGCTCATGAAAAGAAATCTATAGTGCTAATCTGCAAACTAGAGTTATTTTCTGATTAATCAAATAATTTGATTAGATCTGTTTAGATTAACAATAGAAGAGAGTGCATTTAAAAAAAAATACCCATGATTCTGATATCAATTCTGATCTCAGCATGGAGTATAAACAACAAATAGGCTTTATCCTTTTCTAAAAAAAATTTATTTTTAAATTTATTTTGCAGAGATGGGGTATTGCTTTGTTGCCCAGGCTGATCTCGAACTCCTGGGCTCAGACTATCCTCCCGCTTCAACCTTTCAAAGTGCTGGGATTACAGGCCTGAGCCATCACCTCCCAGCCTCAAATAGGCTTTAGAGTCAGATGGTATTGAATTTAAATATCATTGTGCCCTTTACTATCTGTCTGACCTTAAGCAAGTTACTTAACCTTGGCAAGCTGTTTCTTGATCTGTAAATCACAGACAATAGGATTTCCATTTTCACATTTTGAGAGATTTAAAGGGTAAATATATTTTAAAGGCTTAGCATGGTACTTAACATGGTGTGGTCAGCAAAAGATGGTTTTTGTTTGTTTGTTTTTATGGTACAGAAATAATAGTAATGTCCGTTTGTTTTGCTTTTTGTTTTTCTGAGATGGGGGTCTCGACTTATCACCCAGGCTAGAGTACAGCGGTGTGATCATAGCTCACTGAAGCCTTGAACTCCTGGGCTCGAGTGATTCCCCTGTCTCAGACTCCTAAGTAGCTGGGGACTACAGGTCTGCAACACCACATCTGGCTCATGCTTTTATTCTTTGAAAAGACAGGGTCTCACTATGTTGCCCAAGCTGGTCTTAAACTCCCAGCTTCAAGCCAGGCTTAGAGGCATGTGTGCTTGGCCTCTCTTGTTTTTTAACTGGTGACCTTGAACAAGTTATTAGCCTTTCTGTGCCTCAGTTTTCTCATCTGTAAAAGAGGGAAAATAATTGTGCCTACTTCGTAAGGTGAATGTGAGAATTAAATCAGTTCATATGCTAAGTACTTACACAAGTCCCTGACACATAGTGAAGCTCTATGTATTAATTACCACGTAAGATACAACTAATGCAAGTTACACTGCCCTCACAAGTTACTAAATTCTAAACTGCACTGCATACACATCTAGCACAGTATCGACTCACACCTAAAACAAAAGAAGTAAGAGAACATTTACCTGTTGATAATGCTTTTCAATTTCCAGGATCCTGTCATGTAGAATGTTGAAGAGACGCAAAGATTCCTCTTTCAGTCGGTCCTCAAACTTCAACTGAAGCAATTGTTTGAGGAACCCAAAATCCACCTGGAGGGATTTCATCATCTAAAAATGGAAAATATTATCCTTAGCAAACTAACGTAGGAACAGAAAACCAAATACTGCATGTTGTCACTTGGTAAGTGGGAGCGAAATGATGAGGACTCATGCACACAAAGAGGGAAGCAACACACACCGGGGCCTACTTAGGGCGGTGAGCGGGAGGAGGGAGAGGATCAGGGAAAATAACTCATGGGAACTAGCGTTAGTATCTGGGTAATGAAATAATCTGTACAACAAACCCCTGTGACATGAGTTTACCTGTGTAACAAACCTGCATATGTCCCCCTAAACCTAAAAGTTAAATATATATATACACACACACACATTAAATAAAAAATGGAAAAAATGTACATTATTATAGAGAGTAAAGGTCCTCTGTGTAAAGATTTCAACACATTCTCTGGTTCTGGACATATAAGCTGGGTTCCTGGTCAGAGGTCTGTCCTGATTTTTAAGATGATTGTATGCATTGTGGAATTCCAGTAATTCCATCCTAGGTGACCAGGCTTTCAAACTGACAATTAATTTGCCAAACTAAGATACGCTGATGGACTAAAAGACGAGAGTTTCCTAGCAGTTTCTTCCCACACAGAAGAAAATATCTGTGTTTATATTGGCCTTCTGTCATACCTCAAAAGGTATAGTTCTCAAGATGTGGATTTCAGATCAGAAAAGAGAGGCAAGAATCATCATTTGCTGAGAATCTACTAGCACAAGCATTTAAATATGTAACCAGCATGTTGACTAAGAACCATTTGTAATAATTAAAACACAGTGTATTTTTATCTACCCCCATCTATTTAAAATGTATTCACTAGGGCTCCCACCTGTAATCCCAACACTTTGGGAGGGTTAGGTGGGTGAATCAGGTGAGCCCAGGAGTTTGAAACCAGCCTGGACAATATAGTGAGACTCTATCTCTTCAAAAACTTAAAAGAAGAAAAAAAGAGAGATCTAAAAAAAAATGTATTCTCTATGTAATCTTCCCCTGCTCTGAATGGAAATGACAAAATCCCATGACTTTTCTATTCATTCTTGGGAACATAGTCCTACTATCGCTACAAATACAGCCTCAGAGTAGCATTTAGAATATAACTACCAGGTGAGGTGGCTCATGCCTGTAATCCCAACACTTTGGGAGGCTGAGGTGGGCAGATCACCTGAAGTCAGGAGTTTGAGACCAACCTGGCTGACATGGTGAAACCCTGTCTCTACTAAAAATACAAAAAATTAGCCAAGTGTGGCAGCGCGCCCCTGTAATCCCAGCCACTTGGGAACTTGAACCCGGGAGATGGAGGTTGCAGTGAGCCAAGATCGCACCACTGCACTACAGCCTGGGAAGCAGAGCAAGACTCCGTCTAAATACACACACACACACACACACACACACACGTGTATATATGTATATATAATATATACATTACATATATATGAGTTAAAATGCTTCCAACTTCATTCATAAGGTTTTTCCCTTTGTTGAGAGTAATGAAAAAGAGTGATTCACCTTTGAGCTCTCTCTGCTCACCCCCTTACCAGCACCCAAGTGGTTGTATCTCCACAAGGAACAAGGCAGCAGGGATAGAGGGGCAAGGATGTTCCTACCTGGTGGGGTGGCTTCACCATGGTGCTACAGGGCAGAAGAACTAACTTCTCTTCTTCCCTTGGGCACTGATGTAGCTTCTCTAGAGATTCTGATTACCGGGACCCTCTCTTTTGTAGATGTATCTTGACCTAAGCAGATGCTTCTCTACTCTGAGTGGTCACTTGCTACTTCTTCCTTAGGTTCTATGAATCTGGAGTTCACCTCTTTCTTCTCCCTGCTGTTAGGGGTCCTTTGTTCTTCCAGATCACTCTACTGGACAGGACCCAAAATGACCCCACACTGGTTTCACCTCTCTCTCTCTCAGGGCCACATATGGTTTACGGGAAACAATTACACATCCTTTACCCCAATAACTCTGGAAGTGCAGACTGATCCCAATCAAGTCATTCTATCTTCTCATCACAGCCCCCTTTTGCTTCCTCAAGCATGAGTCAAGCACCAGTCCTTTGTGTCTTCTAAGGACAGCAAATACATTCAAGCTCCATTGAAGCCTGCCTTCCTAGCTTTGAGTTGAGGAGGATTGCTTCTGCTGCCCTTCTCCCATAAGAACCATGGCAATAGTTCTTTCTAGAGTCAGCTTCAGCAGTTTTTTCTCTTCAGTCCCTGACCTTATTTATTGTCCTTGATCTGATTCAAAAGCTGAGAGACATTCATCTAATGTGAAACATGCCCCTTGCAAAACCTGCAAATGGTTTCTAACTCATAGTTAGTTTGGAACTTGATGCCTGGTGTACTGGTATCCTGGGAAGACTTTCATTTTGGTATCCTCATACTGTATAGGAGGTTTTATTTTACAGGTGAGAATATCAAGACTTTGAGAGGTCAAGTGACAGCGTTTGGGTGGGGTCCCAGATGAAAAAAAAATCAGAAAGACAAACTCTAAAATCACAGTAAAAGCTTTGAACAAGCCAGGCATGATGGCTTATGTCTGTAATCCCAGCACTTTGGGAGGCCAAGGAGGAAGGACCACTTGAGGCCAGCAGTTAAGACCCGCCTAACAATATAGTAAGACCTCATCTCTACAAAAAAGTTTAAAAATTAGTCAGGCATGGTGGTGTGTAGCCTGTAGTCTCAGCTACTTGGGAGGCTGAGATGAGAGGATCACTTGAGCCTAGGAGTTTGGGGCTGCTGTGAGCTATGATTGTGTTACTGCACTCCACCCTGGGCAAGAGAGGGAGACCCTGTCTCATAAACAAAAAAACAAAAAACAAAAATGAAACCCACCTCTGAACAAACCTCTGGCTTATCCCTGAGAGATACATACATGGGGCAGACTGCAAATAGCCCAGCTGGAGATAATAGAACAAAACCAAGATTTGGCCTGAAAAAAATAAAAAAATAAAAAAAGACATAATTTTCTGTTTTAATCCAAACAGGTTAATTGTGTGGGGGAAAAAACAAAAAACAAACAAACAAAAAAAACCACCACCACCAACAAAAAACCCTCAGCATTCTTTAGGGGAATGTATCAGAACCCAGAAGACAACATCCACACAGTCTACAATATAATCCAAATTACTTGGATTGTATACAAAAACAGGAAAATGTGATTCAGTCTCAAGAAAAAAGGTGATTGAAACCAATTCCAATATTACCAAAATGTCAGAATTGCCAAAGATGTTAAAGCAGTTATTATAACTATACATGAAGAAGTAAAGAAAAATATGCTGTAATAAATGAAAAAAGGAAATACCACCAAACAGAAAATTTTGAAAAAGAAAAAAAATTCCTGAGTTGAAAAATATAACATCCAAAATTAAAACTTCACTGAAAGTACTTAATAGAAGAACAAGGATGGCAGAAAAAAACTGTGAACTTGAAGATGTATCAAATAAAAAACATAAAGCCGAAAGATTTTTAAAATTTTACAAAATGGACAGAGTTTAGGGACTCATGAGTTAATAACGAGAAGTCTAACATACAAGTAATTGGAATTGCAGAAGGAGAGGATAGAAAAAGTGGGGTACAACAAATATTTGAAGATATATTTAGTGGCTCCAAATCTCCCAAATTTGGTGAAACATGCAGATTATAGATGCTTAATTTATTTATCCAAGCAGGATAAATACATCGAAACCACACTTAGGTACATAATAATCAAGCTGTTGAAAACCAAAGATTAGAAGAAAATGTTGAAAGCAGACAGAAAAGAAACAGCTACATACAGGGGAATAACATCTGGAATGACTAATAATGGTTATTTTCTTAGACATTATTAAAGCCTGCAGAGCACTTGTAAAGTGAGAAAACAAAACAAAACACAACTTGTCAACCCGGAATTCTATATTCAATGTAAAAACATTTTAAATAAAGAAAACAGAATTCATTGCCAAAATACCTACAGTAGGGAATAGCTAAATAAAGTTTTTTGGGCTAAAGAGAAATAATTCGGGCTGGAAAGCTAGATCTTCAGGAAAGAATCAAGAGCAAAGGAAGATAAACATCTAGGTACATATAAAATACTAGCTTTCCTCTTATTAGCTTAAAATTTATAGCACTGTTATGAGTTTATAGTGTATGTATAATAGATGCAATACATATGATACTCAGCATAAAAGATGGGAGGGTGGTAAACAGTTAGAAGGTTATTGCGTTTTACATGAAGTTGTGCAATATTAATGCTAAGTACACTATAATCCTTGCTGAACAAAGGATCAAAAGATCTTTAGAAATAATGAAAATTAAATGCAGAAAGAAGTACTGAGATATGGGAAAGAATGATGAGCAAATAAATTGGTAAATGTGAGTAAATCTAAACAAGCATTAATTGTATAAAACAATATGAAGAGTTAACTGCAAAAATATTAGGAGAAAACAACTGAAATACTTGATAATAATAATATAAAAGACAGAAGGACACGATTAGAGATAAAGGTTCTACATTTCTTGTACTGTATGGTAGAAATTACAAATTCTAGTCAACTGTTGAATGTTCAAATTTGAGATTAATCATTAAAAGTATAAAGATAAAATAGTTAATTACTAGTAGAGAAGAGAATAGAAACTAAAGAAAAGTTAATACAATCACTGGAGAGTAGGGAAGGAGAAAAAAGAGGTATTGAAAAAATAAGATAAAGAGAAATTTAAAAAGAAGTTGGCAGAAAAATAATTTATCAGTAGTCAAAATTAATACTAATAGAATAAATTAGCTATTAAAAGAGATTATTAGATTGGATTTTTCAAAACCATATACAATTTATAAGAGATAATCTAAGATACAACACAGAAATAATGTCAGTGTAGAAAAGAGAAAGATTTGCCAGGTAAATACTAGCCTAGAGAATGTTGATACAGATAAATTAACATTGAACAAAAAGGACAATATGGCAAAAGTCTTCATATAGAAAAAATATATGAATCCAATAATTAATACAGATTTTTAAAAAAATTTCCTGGCCAG